CGAAAAAAAGCGCCAGTCTAGACACAGATCTTTTGGAAAATAAAGCCTTTTCCGAAAGATCCCTTATTTTATATTTATCTCTTAAAATAAGGGATAAGGGATCTTTTGGAAAAGGCTTTATTTTCCGAAAGATCCGCATCTAGACTGGCGCTTTTTTCCAGCAAAGCTCCGTGCCGGAAAAAAGCGGCAGCCATTTTTATGCTAATGAAGCGGGGGGGATTTTAATCCCTACAGGTAAACTGAAAAAACAACAAATGGTCTGGTAGCACTTTATAGACTAACAAAACTTGTAGATGGGATCATGAGCTTTCATGGGCACAGCCCACTTCTTCAGATGACTGGAGTGTTGGATGTCTAGGACCAAAATAAATAGGGGAGCTGGGATGAAAGAAGGGAAAATTGGGAGAGGGGAACAAGAAAAGGCAGTGGGTTAAAATATATCAAGGGAAAGCCAAGCTGGAAAGCAACAGGGAAAACAAATAGTCTCTAACAGTGGTCCCCAATCTTTTGGGGCTGCTGGGCACCCGGAGGTGGGGCAACTCATGTGCTGCATGCCTGGGGGTGGCAAGAATGACTTGGGCCAGCCCTGATCAGTCAGCGGGTGAACATAAATGCCCCGGCAGGCGCCATGGCATCCGCAGGCACCACTGGTCTATAAGCACCTAAAGACTAGATAGTCAAAGGGGGCAGATAAGTACCATTAATTAGCAAACAACAAAGAGTTAGGAAACACTTAAAGACTGATGAAACATCTAGATGGTATCATAAGAGTCTTTAAAGACAAAGTACCATTGTTGTCTTCGTTGTTTGACAGGTAGGTAATGACCTAACTAGCCAGGATCTTTGTTTAATCCAGAGGTGTGAGAATTGAATTTGGGAATAAGCTGAAGTTCCAGTCCTTCCCTGTGTATTTGGCTCCTGTAATTGGATTGTAACAAAACAGCTACTTGAAGATCTGTTAATGCATGCTCAGAGAGATTAAAGTGTGCCCCTTGGGCTTTTGTATGTTCTGTTTACGGGTATCTGATTTGTGTCCATTATTTTTTTTCTATAGGGACTATCCAGTTTGTCCAATATATATTGCAGTGGGGCATTGCTGGCATTTGATGGCGTAGATTACGTGCTAGGTAAAGCTGCAGTCTGTTATTGCAGGTAGCATGGGATGGACACGGGGAGTGGAAAGAAATCGAGGGAACAACCACAGCAAGGTGTTGACGATGCTCGTTCTTGACAACCTGTTCCCAGGACTATCATGTTCAGGTCACAGGGCTGGTGCCAGTAGCCCTGTGAGTGTCATCCTGGGGCTCACGTTGGTGTTGGACCCTCGCAGCATTGCCAGGACTGGCTTTGGCCTCACCCAGGCTCGTCATGTGCCCAGCGTCGAGCCAGACCCCTACACCTTCAGCAGGGATCTTGCTTTAACAGGCAGGGGGACCAGAATGGACATGGTGCCCACTGGGTTCATGCCCCAGCTACAGACAATCCCAGGAACATAAGAACGGCCAGAGTGGGCCAGACCAAAAGTCCATCTAGCCCAGTATCCTCTCTGGGGCACCTGGCATTGGCCACTGTCGAAAGAGGGAGGGAGCACAACAGCTAATCTTCACATCATCCCTCCCCTGTCACTCATTCCCAGCCTCCGACAGGCTAGGGACACCTTTCCTACCCAACCTGGCTAATAGCCATTGATGGACCTGTCCCCCATGAATTTATCTAGTTCTTTTTTAAACCTTATTAAAGTCCTGATCTTCACAACATCCTCTGGCAAGGAGTTCCACAAGTTGAGAGCACAACAGCTAATCTTCACATCATCCCTCCCCTGTCACTCATTCCCAGCCTCCGACAGGCTAGGGACACCTTTCCTACCCAACCTGGCTAATAGCCATTGATGGACCTGTCCCCCATGAATTTATCTAGTTCTTTTTTAAACCTTATTAAAGTCCTGATCTTCACAACATCCTCTGGCAAGGAGTTCCACAAGTTGACTATGCACCGAATAAAGAAAAACTTCCTTTTATTCATTTTAACCTGCTACCTATTCATTTCGTTTTGTGACCCCAAGTTTTTTGAAAGTCACCAACTCTTTTGCTACAAGTCAACACTCAGGCTGTGTCTAGACTACACCTCTCTGTCAACAGAGAGAGGTAGATTAAGCACATAGAAATTGCTAATGAAGCAGGGATTTAACTATCCCACACTTCATTAGCATAAACATAGCCACCGCTTTTTTTGAAATGGAGCTTTTTCAAAAAAATAAACCGGCAGTCCAGACGCGGCTCTGTTGAAAAATAACCCTTTTTCGAAAAAGCTTGAATTCCTCAAAAAATGAGGTTTACAGGATCTTTCAAAAAAGGGTTTATTTTTTGACAGATCTGTGTCTAGACTGCCAGTTTTTTTCAAAAAAGCTCTGTTTTAAAAAAAAAAAGCGGTGTCCATGTTTATGCTATTATGCTAATGAAACTCAGGACATTTAAATTCCTGCTTCATTAGCAATATTGATGTGCCTAATCTAAATCTCTCTGTTAATATTAGCGTAAGTCACAATCTCATTAGTATATTTTCTGCTGTTTCTTTTTGCGCAAGGGGTTTTTGCGCAAAAAGAAGCAGTGTAGCTGCTTCCGTTTTGTGCAAAAAATCTTTATGCCTCTCCAGGACAGGCATAAGGTTCTTGTACAAAACGGGGTTTTTGCACACACAAAAAATGTCCACACTGCTTCTTTTTGCACAAAAGCCCCTTGCGCAAAAAGAAATGTCAGAAAATATGGTAATGAGATCGCAACTTATGCAAATGAGCCTCTCATTAGCATATTTTCTGCTGGAAGAACTTGCAGTGAGGATGTAGCCCATATGGCTTATTGGGACGGTCGCAGGAGCAGCAGCAGGTGACTGGGATGAGGTGGCCATGCGATGGCAGCAGAGGCTGTGAAGTGGGTAGACTCCGCCTCGCTTTACACTGACCTGCCCCCAGCTCTGCTCGCTCAGGAGGTGTCCCCGCTCCAGTGGGGTGCTGAGTGTACCATGTGCAGACACACCCCAACTAGTTTTGATTTGCCAGAGCAGGTTCATATCCTTGTCCTGGAGCTTTCAGCTACTTCACCCCTGGGAGCGCTGCCGGGGGAAGGGCTCAGGGAGATAAACCCAGACACCCACCTGCCACTCTGTGGTTTTCTCCTCCTCATCAATTCTCAGCACCAGGGCCTCCTCCAGCTGCTCCCTGAGTGGGCCCAGGGCCCTCTGAAGTTTCTCCTGCAGAGCATCATGGGAGACAAACAGCCGTTATCTGCTTGTCTAATGGGCAGCAAGCGCCGTACACACCGGCCTTCCACACACACATGCAGGGACCCGCCTGCAAGGAGGCAGCCGCTCGGCTCTGCCAGCCCCAAAGGCACCAAGGGAGCAGAGATTCCCAGCTCCGAGCAGGGGCTCTGCTTCCTGCAGCCACTCAAGGCAACTCTGCCCCCATGTGTTAGCTCAGGTGTCACATCCCTGCGCATGGGCCAGAGGGGAAATGGCTGGGAAGCCCTTGAACAGTCTCTCCAGCCAGTGAGAGTGAGGAGCTGGGGCAGCAACATCGCTGCACCGCGCCCAGCCCCAGATCCAGGCCAGGAACCAGATCCACACTCTGCTCTCCCCTGTGTGCCCAAGCTCCCATGGGGCCTCCCTCACAGCAAAGGTCTCACACCAGTGCGGCCTCATTAAGGGTACAGGATGGAGCTGTGATGGGGCTGGGGTTGCCAGGTGTCCGGTTTTGAACTGGACAGTCTGGTATTTGAGGGTTCTGTCCAGGAAACAACTTGAGAAAATACCGGACATGTAAAATGTGCAGTGTTTTCTAATTAGGTAAGTTTTATTATTATCATGAGTATCAGTATGTAGTTGTGAATAGCCTGGCTGCTAGACACGCTCACACTGCATGAGTGTCTACCAGCCAGGCAGCACACAACTACGCAGTGGGAGTAGGAGTGGGGATGGAATCCCCAGGGCCAGACTCGCTTGTGCTCTGCCAGGACCACGCGCGGGACAGGCGGCAAGCACCCCAGGATCTGCATGTGCCCAGGGCAGCCCCGCTCCCCGCCAGACGGTTCCCCCCC